CAGAAGAGCTGATACAGATCATAAAAGCAATTATGGAGAATACAAAAAATAATAAGAGAGAGCTATAGTTGGTACTACAAGATATAAAAAAAGCATTTGACTTGGTATCTCTACGATCATTAGAACTAGTGATAAGGAGACTTAAGATTCTACAGATATCAATATCTTTCATTTTGAATTTATTTGAAAATAGACAGTCCAAGATTATAACAGATCTAAACACAACACAATATTTTAAAATAAAAAATAGTATCGAACAAAATAAAGTAATTTCTCCTCTTATATAGAGGATTTTCTACGATCTACTCCTCTCAAGAATTCAGAAAGACCCAGATCTAGATTATATAGTTATACAAAAAGTCACATTCAACTATAGCTTAAACTAGGCTACAGGGAAAAAGTAGAAATAGGAAGTAGTAGTATACGCAGATGATACAACATGCATTGCCAAAAGCAAAGGTCAAATAGAAAAGACAATTCGATTAGCAGAAGAGTTCTTTAAGCTCAATGATATACAGATTAATAGAAAGAAGTCTAAGTTAATCATTTGTAATATGACAGAAAGAAAAAAGATCATAAACTTCTTTTAGTAATAAGTGGTTAACAGAAGAGAGAAAGAACAAAATTACAAGATTTCTAGGTATTTGGTTAAACAACAAATTAGACAAGTCCTTGGTTAAAACTAGAGCAAAGAAAATTGTCTAATCAACAGTACAAATTTTAAACTCAAAAAAGCTATCAGCAATACAAGCAGCATATATTAACAATATGTATATATTGCCAAAGTTGTGCTATATATTGCAAGTCTTTAGATTTAAACAAAAAACAATTAATACTCTATAGTCTCTAATACTTATATTAACAAAAAACAAAATAAAGCTTACAAGAACTACTAACAACAGTATAATTTTACACAAAAGTATTAGTAATTGCAATGCTTTGTGAGATAAGCTCTTGATTAGAGATGGGCAAAATAGTATTTTTGCTTACTATACATGTGTATGATATGCAGCATGCATGCATATATGCATGCATATTATATATAATATGATTAAAATTTATTATTGCTTTATAATATTAAAAATACAAGAAATTTTTTAATAAAATTTATAGTTATATATAAAAAACTCTTAATTTTTATATACTACTATATAAATATAAACTCATTAAGTCCTTTAAAAATATCTTATATGATCTCAAATTAGTGCTCATAGTATCTGAATTACTATGCATCCTAATATAGCACATATATAATTATTGTTGTGATAAATAATATACAATCGATATTCCATATTTATATACTCTATAAGTATAATTTTTTATAATAATAAGTGCACACAATTTGATATTATTCTCTATAAATGAATATCCTATTAATATACTTTACCTAACAAAAAATATGAATTTATGAAAGGTTAACTATATTAAATTTAAAAAGTCTTTTATTTCAAAATAGCGTATATGTGCATTTTCAAAATAATGTACAGATCAAATTAATTAGCACACTATTTTATACTTGTACAGTAGTAAAAATCATATACTTAAGTTAAAAAGAAATTTTAAATTTACTCAAATCAATAAAGAATTTGAACAAAATTGATTCGAAGTTAATTCTAAATTTACAAAATTCAGCTTTATATTCAATTAATACAGATTGTAGATATCAAATTTGTTATTAATAAAGCTAATAGACATAAAATCTTTATTATATATTTTTGTAAACCAAAAAATTTCGATAATAAATGCTTTATATATTTTTTTTTTTATCAGCATCTCTATTTAACGAGCTTCTCTTTCAATTTCAATCAAATTAATGAATACCTTTGCTTATCTTTTTTAACCTAATTAAATGTTTATTCTTTTTGACTTCAATTTTAAATATTTATTCTTTTTAACTTATCAGTATTTTCTTATTTAGTGAATTGATAATAAATGCTTGTATTTATTTTTTAAATCTAATTTTAAATTTCTATTTTAATGGATTAGTGAAGATATATTTTTTGTTAATTTTTATTTATAACCAATAATATTACCTTTTAATCGTATTTTCTATTTCTGCAAGTTTTAAAAATAAACAGTTATTATTTCAATCTTAATTCTATTAATATCATTTATTTCAATCTTAATTCTATCAGCATTTCTTATTTTAACTTTAATTTCTCATTTTAACAGATTGATAAATACTTTTTATGTACTTTTAACTCTAATGCCTTTAGTACTCTTTGTTTTAACAAATTATTGATGCTTTATATTCATTTTTTTGACTTCAATTCTATTTTTTATGCTTATCTTTTCCGCATTTTCTTATTTATTTATCTTTGCTATCTATATCACTTTCAGTTAACAACTCTGCTTCTGATTCAGATAATTCTATATCTTTATCTTCTTCATTACTTTCTATTAATTCATCTTCACTACTTTCATCACTAGTATCAAGATCTAATAATTCAAATCTATGACTTTCACTAGATCTACTATTAAAACGTATTGTTGCTTCCATTATATCAGATAACTTCAATTTAGAGCATATAAGCTTATAGTTAGTATATATATATACTAGTTTTAGTACCCATTGATCTGTTAACCGATTTTATTTTTTATCATATATATAGGAAAAATTTGACCAATTTTTTCTGAAACCGCTAATAATGATAGAATTATAAGAATTTTTAATACAACTTTATATAATTCAGGTGCTAATGCTTCAAAATTTTTCTTCCACCAAGAAACAAAGTCTATTTCATTTACTGCATTCCAAATTAAGTTAAAATTAAATATACTAGTCTGAGTTTTATATTGTAATAACTGCTGCCAGATAATGTTAGCTTTATTTGAGTAATACTATTAAACAAATATTGAAATCATTAACAGGTCTAAGGTTGTATTATAAATATTACAATCTTATATAATTTATATAAATTAGATTTCATGTAACTTTTATTACATTATACAATTATTTAAAAATTATGAGTTACATGAAATTTAACTTACTTAAACTTATACAAAATTACCCTACAGATATAGAGATACAAAACAGCTCAACAAGTCTGTATATTTAGTAAAATAAAAACTAGCAAATAAAGTTAATAAGCTGATTTGTATCTCTATTTAAACATACTATAGCAGAAAGTTTTTTTTTATGATATCGTGAATCCAACAAGTATGCTACTGATAATACAGGTTGATATATTTTCTTCTACCTATTCTCTAATAAATTTTTGATTGCAGAATCTACTTCAGGAAAAATATAAACTAAAATAATATAATAATTTATTACATATATAAATAAATAATAGTTGTAAATATAATTTGTATATATTAATTTGTTTACTGTCAAATTCTAATTGTTTGTGATATCATTAATAAAATAATGCTAATCTTGATATGTCTGACTCAAAAGTAGCAATACCTGTAACTAATTTATCTAATATTATAAGCAAAAAATCAATATTTTTCCAAAAACTCTTACATTCTATAATATCACTTATAGCTTCATGTATTAAAATATGACTGTTATGAGCCAATTTAGTTACAGTTAGTTTAAGTGCAAGCTGATTTTGAACAAGCAAATTAAAACAGATTACTGAAGATCTCTACCGTGTTTTAACTAGATACTTAAAAGATATTCGTTGATTATATATAGCTAATTGGTGTTATTTTAATATAGCTATTGGAATTTGATTTTTTCAAAAGTATACAACTATTTTTGTTACATTTTTTAATAAATTTGCACACTATCTTAATTTTATTATATCACTAATTAAAAGATTTAAACTATGTGCAATACAACCTAAGAACAAAACTTCCAGATAATCTATTTCTAAAAAATGCCATGCCTTTTTCATTACTGAGACATTGTTAGTAATAATTGCTAAAATTTTTGATATACCTACTTCTATCATAATTTTTTCTAAATTATGAGCAATAGTTTTACCAGTTTGATACAGTTCATTAGTTGGATATGCTGCATAAAAAACTAGTTTTGGTGTTGTTAAAATGTAATTATTCCAATGTTCTTGTACTAAATTAGACTAATCATCTGATATAAGACACAAGTTTTGGCTATTAGTATTGATCAACATTTCAACCTCTTTTTGGTTTTATTGTAAACCTTATCTAGTAAAGTAGTTGAAAGTTTTTTTTAACTAGGCAGCTTAAATGTTGGCCATGCCTGTTTCTACAACTTTTTAATTAGTTCTATTTCTGGTAAGAACAAAAATAAGCTACATTTAAAAACTGATCGTGCAAATTCTAACTCAAGTGACTTTTGCTCTATTTTAGATATACAATCAAGTATAATATAATTTGTAATTCGATTTCTAGAACTTTTTAATGCAACTAAAAAGTAGCAGTAGATGAAGTTGATGTAACTAATGTTGATATAGAAGTTGATGCAGCCAGAGAAGATGTATCAGATATATTATCAATATCATCCTCTTCTTCATATAAATTACCAAAATATTTTTTTTTTGTTCTGATATAACTAAACTACAGTTCCGAAAGTATGTACATGTAGCTCTAAAAATATTGTTAAATTGGTTTTGACAATATTTGCATTCTATTCTTTTTTGTTTGAATCCAATTACATGTCTTAGTTTAACAAAGTGAATCCAAATTAAATCAAGCATTTTTTTTTTCAAAAAAAAACAATTACGCACAAACTTATCAATTTAGAATTTATTAAATTTATTTAAAAAAAGTTTCTTATAAAATCTATTAACATTATACTGTAAAGAAAATTGAAGTTAAAACAACATGTTTTGTATATAAACAAATATTTATACAATATATCTAATATAAAAAATTATTACTACGTAGCTTTAATTATACATATATGGGTATACAAAATTTAAAAGGTAATAAGTATATATACTGATACGAATTATATTCTGTTTTAGAGATTTGCATTACATGTACAAATTAAAGTTTTTTTAAAGACTTGTATACACGAGCAAATAAATAAATAAATATATATTCTATTTAAGAATTTGTATACGTATGCAACTAAATAAAGTTTTTTAAAGAATGATTTGTGAGCAAATAAGTATTATATAACAGGATAAAACCTGAGTTGTGAATTATGTAGCAAAACTGCTATATTTATCTCATAAAGGTAAATTTCACTTTATATAATAAAAACAATTAAATGCAGATTTTTGATCTACATAGTAGATTTACTATCTTGCAACTCAGGTTTTGCTCTGTTTTATTAATATATTTTTTTTTGTATAGACATTTTGGTATATAAACCGTTAGATAATATGCATGTATAGTATATACATGCATGCAGTTATGCACATAGTACCTATCTCTACTCTTGACAAAACAGATCTATAGTTTATATTTCTGTTTAAACACTTTAGACCCAGAGAAGATTTTAATATTATTAAGAATAATATATGGTATGAGGTTGATGAGAACAACAGAAAACTCATAGCATAATAAACCACCAGAAATTTATGCACGTTTGTGAAAGAATAATCTAGCATGCCAAACAATGCTGAATGCTAAACAGATAGAAATCACTTTCAAGTTTAAAAATACAAACTTTATAATAGAAAGCAGAAAGTTTATATTAGCAATTTTGCTCAAAAAAAATTTCACAGTATTGGTAGCAAAAATGCTAAGAAAATTAAATCTAATCTCATTCAAGCAACTGCTAACAAGTGCAAGAGACCGATTAATAACCTGGCAACAATTAAAGATTCTTAGAAATAATTTAAGTAAAAGAAGAAAAGCAAAATGGTTCTAAACAATAGAGAAGATAATATTGGAAAATGATATAAATAGAGTTATCAAGATGAAATTCAAGGTCAAAAACCTGAACTCTTGAATGCTTCAAGCATTCTCAGACCTATTAGAAAAAGATAGTAGAAGGAAGAATTGGATTTTAACCCAAGATGCAAAGAATAAAGAAAACTGAGATCCAGTTATCAAGAAGATCTCTAAGTAGACAAAGAAAAGAACTTTAGCAGAGCATTGGAGAATAAAAAAAGATCCAAACACACTTATAGCCAAATTAGAAAAGTGCAATGGTTGTGAGTTAAATCAAAGAAAAAAAGAAATATATATGAAATACTGATTAAAATTAGCGAAGTAGAAGATTCTATATTGAAATATGTAAACAAATAAAGAGAGAATACCCTTATAGTTAATCAGAAAATGCTTACTTCAATATGAAGATTTTCTTGCTTATAGATATATACGGGAGAAAGAGAAGTACAAGAGATCTATTATTATGACTTGGATATTGAAGTTATTAGAAAACAATATATTAGTTTTAGAATACAAAAAGACCTTATAAAGAACAATTTAATAGCAAAGAAGAGCCTTCAACATCAATTGGTTTTTTATATAAATAGATCTTTCAGATATAATGATAGTACTTCACAAGCCAAACCAGACAGTATGGATGTTAGCTAGATATAATTAAATGAGAAAGAAAATAGAATTATAAATAAGAGTTTATTTGGGGCAAGAAACTAACTATCATCAACAAAAGCTAAACTGCTTGGAATTTGTATATACTCCTCATAGTATCAAATAAAAGGAAGGCCAAGATCTATACAGACAGCTTAGCCACAATAAAAGGTATTAAAAGAAGAAAAAAGAAAAAGAAAGCATGCTAGTTTCTGAAAGAAGAAAATTATGATCTAATAGGTAGTATAGCTGATATAGTTAGTATTAAGAATATTTAGTTAGAACTAATAAAGGTTAAGAGTCATAGTGAAAATAGATAGAATGACAGAGCAGATAGATTAGCAAAACTAGGCGCTAGATTAGATGATAGTGATAGTATTATAGAAAAGATTTTCCAAGAATTAAATGTTGCTTTGTGTTAGAAAGGTCAGCTATAGGGTACAAGATAGGTTGGGTCGAGTTAGGTTTATTTAAACCTGACTCAGACCTGATTAAAAATCCGACCCGAGCCTGACCTGTCATAAAAATTTTTTATTGGATTTGGGTTATTTAAATTAGGTCTATTTCAAAATCTGACCCAACCTGATTAAATCTGATTATTTTTATATATAGTGTAATATCATATTATTTTAGAGTTACAGTATATTAAATCAGAATAGACGCTTATACAAATTTAATCAGTATAAAATTATTTTCTGATACTTTATTTTATCTAATCTAAATCTCAGAACTAATTTTAAGAAATTAATTGTTGTATTATTAACTTATAAATAATAGATCAAATATAATAAATTTTAGATTATTGATCAAAAAGCATCATATACGATAGTATGTTCATGCACGTATATATGATTACTTTCTATTCTTGCTTTTTTTATACTAATTTTCTTATCATTTACTAATTTTCTAGTTTCGCCACCTTTTAGCAGTTTCGCTATTTTGGTATTTTAATTATATTTTGGCAAAAATTAAAACTAGTTTCGATTTTAGCCTGTGGTGAAACCTCTAGGTTTTACCTAACAATATTAATCATACCTATACTGTACGGATCTGGTTATACTAATCTGCATAATTTAGAAATGTTCTTGCAGATATAATAATTATACTAACAAATGTGAATAAGAAGCTAAATGAGAAATAAGCTCATATGAGTAACAAAAAGGAAAAACCTGTAAATCATTTCACTCAATAAGTGAAATAATTTACAAGTTTTCTCTTTTCGTCACTTATATTAAATACTTAGACCAATAAATAAACGTTAAATTTAGAGAGACTGAAATCATGCATAAGTACTATGATTAATTGAATATTCTTTTTGTAATTTTGCTATCGTTAAATATGTACAATAAATTTTATCTAACCAGTACAAGTCTATAGCAAAAAAGGTGAATTTAAACTTGTTTTTATTGCGATAATGAACCTATTTACTGGTTAAACTATTTTTCACCAATTAAAAATCGAGAAATTAAATAATACTGTAATATATTAATTGATAGCATTCAATTGATTAAATAAGAAAGTTCTAAAATATAATTAATTGAATATTATATAAAAATCTGATATTAACGATTTTTAGAGCTACTGTATTAACGCTTATATGGCTTTTTTTTTTTTTTTAAAAAAAAAAGTGAGGTCTGGTCTTGGTCTTTATTGAATAATTATATGTTACATTATTTAAATGAGTTACATAAATTATTACAGAGATTTACAGCTACAACTAATTTATCCTCAGCCCAAAGCTTTACTAGAGTAGGCTACTCAGCCTCCACTAGATTTAGTGCTTGTATGGCTTTTTTAAATACTATATTGCTTTAAAATCATTATTACTGTAGCTAAGTAATAATATTTAATACAATACTACTGCAGCACTATATTAATATTATCTATTATAGCTTGAGCTATAGTTCAAGTTACGCTCTAGCCAAAAAACAAGTTGTAGCTTCAATAACTATGGTTTAATCTGAAACTATAACTTTATAAAGCTGATTCAGTTGCAGCTGATGCTTAGCTATAGTTAAAGCTGTAACTCCAAGTTATAGCTTAAGTTACAACTCATCAGTTTTGGTTGACTTGGTCAACTTGACTCTATTATACAATTAAAGCTGGCTTAAAATAAAAATCAATTAAAGCCATTAAAAATATAAGTTGAACGTTTGTTATGGTTAAATAAATCCCATACTCTAAATAAATATAGTGCTATATGATACAATATCATGAAATTTAAGTGCAGAATTTCATATTTCATTGCATTTAATGCTAGTCCAACCAATTATGAGATTTTGCAAATATATATTACTAAAAATGGCTATAAACTATACACTTCATGATATTATATATTACTCCATTTCTGGTAAATGAGAAGTAAATTTCTTGAATATTTTAGTCGACAAATAATCAATATATCCTCAAATTATAATAGTGTAAATAAAAAGCAAATGGCTTAAATATTTTGAGCAATAAATAATCGCATTCACATATATCTAATAAACTATAAATTTCACTGTTATGTTCTTCTATTGATCGATATGGATAAGTAAATAAGAAAAAAGTGCTTATTTTTTATAATTATATCATAAATAAAGAAAAAAATATATGTATAAGATTCGTATTATTCAATTTGGTTAATGCTTTCAAAAACTAAATAGATTATACTAATTATCTGAAATGGTCTTGTCTTGACAAAGCCATTTGTCACCTAGTGAAACTTGAATTCATGACTTTTGATTGTGACCCAGGAAGCTAACTACTGTGCTATTGACCCATAGGTCATTATTATGATTTCTATCATGAATTATTGTAAAAAATTTTTTACAAAACTTGTTCACTATTCTAATAACTACAATATATTGAGTTAGTTTGCATTAGAGTTAGAAAATTACTATAATTTTATATAAGTTTGTGCAAGTTTCTAAAATCAAAATTACTTGTAATTTGTAAGAAACGTGATCATTCTATCATATGATTCAATGTGATTGGTTAGATCATATGCACATCAATTTGATCAGTAAACTTTATTGAAGTTCAATAATACTAAAATTTTCATAATGCTATAGTACTGACACTATAAATCATGTGTGAAATTTACATGAAATCCATATTATTGAAACTTATGTGATATTACATACATTGTAAGTTTTTAAATGTAATTTTTAATCCTAGTTTGTATCGATATTGTTATTATTTTTATTGTAAGATACTGTAAAAATTCTGGTACAAATTTACTATTTTGGTAATATACAGTATAATTCACTAATACATATTACCAATATTATTATATCCAAGTTAATCTAATATCATATATTGATAATTTATAGACCAATTACGGCATTTATCACACAAATGATCAAAATATTGCAAAATTAATTTTTAAGTTCGTTAAATATATCACTTATCATTTTATTGAATTGTTAATTTGTAATTTATTTTAATTACCTTTGTTCTAAAAAGATCATACCAACTAAAAGAGCATACTTTTTTATAGCCCAAATTGTCAGATAGGTTATCAAAATTTAAGCATTCAATTTTCAATACATTGTTTGAAAAAAAGAAAAATTGATATTATGAAAATAAAAAAAATCATGAAAAAAGAAAAAAATATAAGAAAAAAAATCATACAAAAAAAAAAAAAAACTACTAGGATTCTAAGTCCTAGTCTGCTATATTTTTTATCTAATCCGACCATATATTAACATTTCAATTGTTTCTAAACTCAGATTCAATTGATAGTTATCAACAACTCTTTTAGCAGTACTAAATACCTATATATAAAATAAGTTAGCTTATATGTAATAGTTATTTATTGCGAAATCAGAGATATTATCAGGGCCCTCACGGCGGAGCCGTGGGGGCTCTGAGAGTTATCAGCGATTTGAGCAGTAAATAACTGATATATTTTCTGGTTACTAACACCCGTGATTAGATAAAATCATGTATTACAGATATGTTACTATTAGTAAAAATTAGACTTTTACATTAATAAAAAAATATAAATAAATAAATAAAAAAAAAGATCAGATACTTTTGCTTCTTTTTAAAAACTACAATAGATCCAAATAAAACTGTACAATTCAATACCGCTAGTGAACTTCTAAATAATCCAAGTTTATAGTCTAAAACATCTAAAAGTATTAAAATTGAGAAAGCAATTTTATTTTATCAAGATAAATCACGTGTCAACAATATAGAAAAGGCAACAAAAAACTGGCTAGAGCATTTTGAAAAGTTTCAAAAAAGTATGATAGAAGTTTATCCACATAACGAAAACTATAAAACTGAATTAAAATCTATTTCTGAGTTATCTATACTAGATAATCAAATAGCTGTCTATGTTGCTACTATAAAAAAAAGATGGCACTGAATATAAAGCTTTATCTGTACGTCAATCTGTTGATGATATCAATTGCTATTTAATGGAATATTCGATTATTTGTAGTATTAATTTACATGATCATCATCAATTTCCAAATTTATTAAAAGTTCTTGATGGAAAAATGAAAGAATTACAAGATAAAGGGCTTGGCGAAATAAAAGGATCTGTAGCTTTAACTTAACAAAATATCTCTGATATTTTATCACATTTAGCAACATCGATATTAACATCTGATACTCTTATTAAAAAAGTATTCTTTCATAATGCATTTCTTTTAGCCTGTCAGGGTGGTGAACATTATAATTTAAAAATCGATCAATTTAATTTTTGCGATGATGGTGGAATCGATTTTCAGAGATTTCGAGCAAAAAATAATCAACGTAGAGTTATAGGCGGTGCAGCACAAAAAGTACCAATTCTAGCAGATTCATCTAATTTTAGAGGACCATGCTATGATTATCATCTTTATTTCAAAAAAAGACCATTAGATGCTAATCAGGAATTTTATTTACAAACAAATCCTAAATGTATATATTTATATTTATAAGTTGGTTTTTTTATAATATTAATAAAAAAAATTAAATATATTTAATTTAATAGGGAAAGAGACTGGAATTTGGTATCGCAAA